TAATTGTTAAAGTTTATTCTGTTATTGCATTCTTTACTTCGTTTCAATATTAGTTATAATTCAAATCCAATCAACTATATGATCGCACTTAGATTAAGCTAGTACTTGCATTCTCGGTGCTTTTAATTCTCTCAGAACTGGTTCGACAATCTTTTATACTACATCATTTGTCTTAGGAGCCTTGAAACTCCTAACATCATTACTCATTCATCACGCGTCTCTGAATAAAACATGGTAAAGAGTAGGTGTGGGCATTTTTACCCCAAACCGAACTGCCTACCTTAATCCGAAACGAAAAAATCGAAATCGGATCCAAACCGTTATACAAAAATATCCGAACGGGATTTGAGAGCTTGGTACTTTAGATTATGAATACAACCCGAACCGAACCGAAATCCAAATTTGGATCCGACTATATCTTAAATAAGTGAATTATGTTACTATTTTTATATATTTTAAGGTAATTTAGATGTTTTTGGAGTATTTTAAAAAAAATTATAGTTTATTTTATTTGTTATTTTGAATAAATTTTAATTAGTTTAGGTAATTTAACTTGTTTTTAGTTAAATTTGTGAATAATTTATATATTTTAAGTATCTATAACATTATTTGAGAAGTAAATTTGCTTAGTTGTCAACTTCTCCATGATTTTAGGTTATTTTGCTTATTTACCTTATTTAAATAATTTCATATACAATTTATTATTTATTAAAAAAATTATATTAATAATATTATATTTTCGAAAATCTGTTAATTATTTTGTATTAAATTGTTAACTTAAAAATATATTTTCTATTATAAAACTCAAGTGAATTTACTGATTGATTTGTAACTTCTCCATGATTTTTTTTAATTTTTTTTAATTTTGCTTATTTTTTTATATTTTTAATAATTTTATGAATAATTTATCATATAATACAACGAATTTCTATTAATAATATTATACTTTTAGAAAATAAGATAATTCGTATATATTATATTGTTATCTTTAAAATATATTTTTTATCATAGGACTTAAAAATTAATTTAAATATTAATAATTTAATATAAAGAAAGCAATGCTGATTTATCCACTTTTCCATGGTTTTATATTTTGCTTATTTATCATATTTTAGTAATTTCATATATTTTATTAAATAATAAAATGAATGTATACTAATAAAACTAGATTTAAAAAAAAGATAATTCTTATGTATTGGATTGTTATCTTGAACATATATTTTCTATAGAAAATTTAAGTGAATTATCTAATTTGTAATTTCTCCATGATTTAGATAATTTTGACTATTTGTCATATTTTTAATAATTTTATATAATTTATTATAAAATAACAACGATTTTCTATTAAAAACTATACTTCTTATGTATTATATTGTTATCTTGAAAATATATTTTATTATAGAAATAAAAAATTAAGATAGAAAAACTTATGATTAAAATAAATTAGAGCAACACATTTGTAAATATATATTTTTAAAAATATTTTGTTATGTTAGTGTTGTCATTTATAATTAATTTTCAAACATAAATTATAACTTATTATAGAATTAATAAAATACAGACTAATAATAAACTGTACGAAAATTATGCCCGCATGTGCGGGCAAAACACCTAGTTCTTTTGTTAATTTCTTTAATTTTTTAAAAAATACTTTTAGGCGAATTTATACATTGGTTATAATTCGATCCGAACCGAATCCAAAAGAAACCGAACCGAACCCGACCCGATAATTTGTAAACCCGAATGAGATTTATGAGCATAATTACGAAGATCCAAATATCCAAACCAACCGAACCGAATCCGACGGGACTCCGCACGTCCAGGCCGATCATATATCCCCATAACAATAATCATTGTAACAACATCGAGCAGACACCTTGTCCCCTTTTTATTCGCTTTTGTTATCACACAAACACTCCCTCGAAAAAAGAGGGAGGGACGATGAATAATTAAGTTAACATGCATAAAAAGAGGAATTTAAGGTATCAATTTCGTCTCCATTACACTAAACATTCTTTTGATTAAGTCCCAAGACTCGGCGCCGTTATCTTGGCGCCATTCACGCTTCCATCTTATCTTTTGTCTCCACCCTTTAAACCCTAACCTAATTTAACTATAAACTACCTAACTATACCCTAAAAGCAACATATGAACATAGTATCTCCTTAATATCCAATATCCTCATGTTTAATGGCATGGGAACTTGAAGTCTCAAACTAACCATATACTAGTAATTATTAAGACGTAAATGAGAATCAAACTAAATACATATTTAATCATGTGATGCAATACTTTTTATTTCATAAACGAAGACAGACTTCCATCTATTTTCTAAAATAATTTTTATTTCATAAACGAAGACAGACTTCCATCTATTTTCTGAAGTTGTTTTATTTTTCAAAATGAAAATATAGCATATTATATCATTTTGTAATATAAGATCGCTATATTATATGGTTTGGATTTCGCTTTTAATGGAGACATGGTCTAAAACTTCTTAATAATTCAAAAATATATATCATGCAGTTTAGGGATGCATATTATATCACAAATCTCCATAACTTTCACATCGTCTTAAATAAACAGTTCTACTTTTGAATTTGGGTTTTGACCATCACAGTGTACGTTTAGGCAGACGCAAAGTCGTGACGTGCGTTTATATTTCCGTCATTCAAGTACCGGTTTTTAAACAAATACCATTACTTGATTCTTAGGAAACAGGATCGGACCATTAAGACTTTCTTAATTCCCTTTCCTACTATAATGGCAAACCTAGTTTTATTCCATTTTCTGTCATAAATTAATATAATTTTCAAAACTTCATGAAAAGATTCAACTGACATTAAAAAGAGGAATTTAAATGGATAAACAATCAGTAGTCAGTTAAAGAAAAAGGGGATTTGGTCGGATAAATTAAGGTTAAAAGTTAACCAGAAAAATATTTAGATTGGAGAAATTAAGGTTGATTAAGGCCACTTTCTCCCTAAAAGCCGTATTCATCGCTTCCATCAGCGCCGGATCAAATCCCTCTCTCTCTCTCTCTCACTTTCTGTGTGTATATATGTGGACCTTCATGTCATAGATTCGTACCTCAAAAACTCATAAAGTAATCAACTTCTCTGTCTTTGGACAATGACTTCTTTGTTCTTCTTAGCTCTCCTTTTCTCGTCTATTCTCACGGGAAATGTTGATGCTAATCCAAATTACAGAGAAGCACTCTCCAAGTCATTGCTCTTCTTCCAAGGTCAGCGATCTGGTCGTCTCCCTAGAGACCAACAAGTCTCCTGGAGGGCTAGCTCCGGCCTTTCTGATGGTTCTACCGCTCATGTACACCCCACTAAACCTTTTTTTTAGGCAATAGCTTTGTCAGTAACTAAATTAAGCAGGAGCATTTTATATGACTTGCAGGTGGACTTAACGGGTGGGTATTACGACGCGGGAGACAACATCAAGTTCAATTTCCCAATGGCGTTTACCACGACAATGCTTTCATGGAGCACACTTGAGTACGGTAAGCGTATGGGTCCTGAGCTTAAAAACGCACGTGAGAACATCCGTTGGGGAACGGATTATCTCCTGAAATGTGCTAGAGCAACTCCGGGCAAGCTTTATGTCGGAGTAGGAGATCCTAACGTTGATCACAAATGCTGGGAACGCCCTGAAGACATGGACACACCTCGTACAGTCTACTCTGTTTCTTCTTCTAACCCTGGCTCAGATGTAGCAGCTGAAACCGCAGCAGCTCTCGCTGCTGCATCTATGGTTTTCAGGAAAGCTGATCCTAAGTACTCACGTTTGCTGCTCGCAACAGCTAAGAACGTTATGCAGTTTGCTATTCAGTACAAAGGCGCTTACAGTGATTCCCTTTCTTCATCTGTCTGCCCTTTCTACTGCTCTTACTCTGGTTACAAGGTCCTTTACTGCTCTAAAACTCCTTCACTGCTACATTAGATCCTCATACTAAAATCTGAGTTTATAATAACAGGACGAGCTGATGTGGGGTGCAGCTTGGCTACTGAGAGCAACCAACAACCCGTATTACGAAAACATCATAAAATCTCTAGGAGGTGGAGATCAGCCTGACATCTTTAGTTGGGACAACAAATACGCTGGCGCCTATGTCCTTCTCTCACGGGTGCGTCTAACTGCTTAATTGTCATAACACACAGCTTAGCTCCTCTCTATCTGCTCACCAATTCACAACAAAATCTCTTATTTTTTCTTTTGCCAGCGAGCATTACTTAACAAAGACAGCAACTATGAACAATACAAACAAGCAGCTGAGAATTTCATGTGCAAGATCCTCCCACATTCTCCCTCTTCCTCCACCCAATACACTCAAGGTAAACAAATCAAAGCTCATGACTCGTGAAAAAGAATCATTCCAACTCTCTAAAATCGTTAGGTCATGACTCATGAATGCTTCTAACTTTCTCTAAAACGTTACTAAATGTAACCTCTTTCATAATCACTAATCAACAGGAGGACTAATGTACAAGCTACCACAGAGCAACCTCCAATACGTAACCGCCATAACATTCCTCCTAACAACCTACGCCAAATACATGAAATCAACGCACCACACATTCGACTGCGGAAACTCAGTCATCGTCCCCAACGCACTGTTAACCGTATCGAAGCAACAAGTCGATTACATTCTCGGAGAGAATCCGATCAAGATGTCGTACATGGTTGGATTCGGACGAAGCTTCCCGAAGAGGATCCACCACAGAGCGTCTTCTCTCCCTTCTCACGCGATTCTCTCGAAACCTTTGGGATGTAACGGAGGGTTTCAATCGTTTTACACTCAAAACCCTAACCCTAATGTTCTCACGGGAGCGATCGTTGGAGGACCGAATCAGAACGATGGGTATCCGGATCAGAGAGATGATTATAGTCACTCGGAACCGGCGACTTATATTAACGCGGCGTTCGTCGGACCTTTGGCGTACTTCGCCGGCGGTAGATCGGCGTGAGATCGAATCCGTTAAGCAGTTGTGTAGTTCCTTTGATTTGGGGGAAATGGTTAGTTAAAGATCCGTTGGCTAAGCCTAACGTGAAAACTCTATTAAGGGACAAGTAATTTAAAATGTGAAAGTCTTAATGGGCTAAGAACCCAAATATGTAATATTAATGGGCCAGGAAGAAGGTGTTCCTGTGGTCTATGATTATTGGTTTGGAATATATTTATATTTATATAAATTAAACAAGAAAAAGTTGATATCCACTGGAACAAATGAAAATGGAGATGGATGTTTAATAATTATAAGAAAACATAGTTTTTTAGAAGTTGTATTATTATTTTGCCTATCTGATAGATAATATGAATGTGACGACTTCAGAATATAATAATGTAAGAGGATCTAAGGCTAATCACTCGAAAACTATATGGTAACCACCATGTGTTGCTAAGCTAGCTGCATGAAATTAGCAATGACTTCGTTAATGGAATTAGTTTTGGGATGCTTTGAAAAAGGCTTTCATTTTTTGATATCTATACAATATTATAATTAGAATAGAAAAATTATAAAAAAATAGTGTGTATGTGTTAGTGGCGGACCCAGAATTTTTTTTTACCGAAGTCAAATCATAGGTTGAAGTAATAATTTTAAGCAAAATTAAAACTGACTTTCTAGGCTTTATGTTTTTAAAACAAAGTGAAATAGGCTCAAAGTCCAGATGGAAATAGGTAAACACAAAATAAAATAGGAACTAACAACAAAATAGTAAAGTGGACAAGGCATCAGTTTCGTCTCCATTACACTAAGAACTTTTGATTGTGTCCCAAGACTCGGCGCCGTTATCTTGGCACCATTCACGCTCGGCGTATTTTTTGCCTCCTTCCTTTAAAACCCTAACGTAATTTAACTATAAACTACCTAACTATACCCTAAAAGCAACATATGAACATTGTATCTCCTTATTTCCAGTTACCCTCATTTTTAATGGCATGGGAAATCAAACTACACATAAGAGACGTAAGTAAACATCAGATTAAATATGTATTAAACATGTGATGTAATATTTTCCCAATAAGTAACGTTTCTAAAATACTTTCATTTCATAGATGAAGTAAATTTTCCATCTATTTTCTGAATTTGTTTTATTTTTTCTAAAATGAAAGTATAACAGATATATAACTATTATATAATTTTGTTATATAAGATCAGACGTTCAAGTTGCGTGAGGAAAATCTTCTTTCCAAAGAAAAGTTAAATTTATATGGTTTGGATTTTGCTGTATCGCAATGCGCGTAACCACGGATTTAAAACCTCTGAATTATTTAAAACATATACTCCCTCCGTTTCATATTAAGTGTCGTTGTAGAGAATTTTTTACGTTACAAAATAAGTGTCGTTTTCGGTTTTCAATGCAAAATTTATTAATTTTATTATGTAATTTGTTTTTCTATCGGTTAAAATATGGTTAGATGTATATGTAACTGTGTTTTTGTATAGGAAATATGTAAAATTAATTGTTTCCTTAATCTGTGTGCACAGCTGTAGAGTGACACTTATAATAAAACAGAGGGAGTATTAGATATGTATCTATGTAATCAAGCGGATGTTAATTTTCATTTTTATTTACATAAAATATGGTTTTTACTTCAAAAAATGGTATATATTATAATTACATATATGTTGTTATGCATTATATAAACATAAGTATGTTATTCAATTGTCTTGTTTTCTTCAAATCAATTATTTTAAAATGTAACATGTAAAAGTACCATAAATTTTTTAAAAAATAAAAATATTTTTCTGTAAAAAGTACCATAAACAATAAAATGATTTAACAAATTATAAAAAATGTAAAATATAATTAGTTGCACAGTTTTCATTAAAATTTAATTAACATAGAATCTCAAATACAAAAAAAAAACTTTTTAAAACATCACATGACACATTATTAAAGGGAGGAGTAAAACAATTATACTTTTGAATTTGGCTTTTGATCATCACAATGTATGGTTTAGGCAGAGGCAAAGTCTTAACGTGCGTTTATATTCCGTCATTCATGTACCCGATTTTAAACAAATACTACTACTACCTGCTTCTTAGTAAAAAGGAGACCGTGGAAGACTTTCTTCATTCATACTAATGTCAAACCTAGTTTTATTCCATTTTCTATCTATAAAATTCTCTATTTTTCAACACTTTATGAAAAGATTCAACTGACATTAACAAGATGAATTTAAATGGTATAAACAAAAGGTAAATTGGAGATTTGGTCGGATAAATTAAGGTTAAAAATTAACTAGAAAATACAGTATTTAGATTGGAGAAATTAAGTTTAAGGCCACTTTCTCCCATTAAAGCTGTATTCATCGCTTCCATCAGCGCCGGATCAAATCCCTCTCATATCTCTCTCCCTCCCTATATATATGTGGTCCTTTATAACATAGATATCATACCATAAAGTAAACAACTTCTCCTTCTTTGGAGAATGACTTCTCTGTTCATCTTAGTTCTCCTTTTCTCGCCTCTTCTCACGAGCAATGTTGATGCTAATCCAAATTACAGAGAAGCTCTCTCCAAGTCATTGCTCTTCTTCCAAGGCCAGCGGTCCGGTCGTCTCCCTAGAAACCAGCAAGTCTCCTGGAGGGCTAGTTCCGGCCTTTCAGATGGTTCAACCGCTCATGTACACCCTAAAACCATTAATCCTCTTCTAGCTTTGTCAGTATCAATTAATAACTAAGCAGGAGAATTTGATGTGAATTTTGCAGGTGGACTTAACTGGTGGGTATTATGATGCGGGAGACAACGTGAAGTTCAATTTCCCAATGGCGTTTACAACCACCATGCTTTCATGGAGCACGCTTGAGTACGGTAAACGGATGGGTCCTGAGCTAAATAACGCACGTGAGAACATCCGTTGGGCAACGGATTATCTCCTGAAATGTGCTAGAGCCACTCCAGGGAAGCTTTATGTCGGTGTAGGAGATCCTAATGTCGATCACCAATGCTGGGAAAGGCCTGAAGACATGGACACACCTCGTACAGTCTACTATGTTTCCTCGTCTCACCCTGGTTCAGATGTAGCAGCTGAAACCGCAGCAGCCCTGGCTGCAGCTTCTATGGTTTTCAAGAAAGCTGATCCTGACTATTCACGTTTGCTCCTGGCAACTGCTAAGAAGGTGATGAAGTTTGCTATCAAGTACAAAGGCGCTTACAGTGATTCCATTTCTTCATCAGTCTGTCCTTTCTACTGCTCTTACTCTGGTTACAAGGTCTCCCTTTTCATATGCCCTTAAAACTCTTTTACTGCTAAACTAAATCCTCCTCATACTCTTTTATGATGACAGGATGAGCTGATGTGGGGTGCAGCCTGGCTACTGAGAGCAACCAACAACCCGTATTACAAAAAATTAATAAAATCTCTAGGAGGTGGAGATCAGCCTGATACCTTCAGCTGGGACAACAAATACGCTGGCGCCTATGTTCTTCTTTCACGTGTTCGTCTAACTTTTATAATTCTCACTATTAGACTCATCAACTCACAACAAAGCTTGTCACTTTTTTTTTGGCAGAGAGCATTGCTTAACAAAAACAAACACAACAACTTTGAACAATACAAACAATCAGCTGAGAATTTCTTGTGCAAGATCCTCCCACACTCTCCCTCTTCCTCCACCCAATACACTCAAGGTAAACCAAACTCACAATCAAGAAACGCTTCTAACTTTCTCTAAAACGCTACTATAAACGATAACAATCATGAAACGCTTCTAACTTTCTCTAAAACGTTTCTAATTGTAACCTTTTTTTTTTTTTTTTTTCTTTGAAACACAATTGTAACCTCTTTCATAATCTCTAATCACAGGAGGACTAATGTACTTGCAACCTCAGAGCAATCTCCAATACGTAACCGCCATCACATTCCTCCTAACAACCTACGCCAAATACATGAAATCGACACGTCACACATTCAAATGCGGAAACTCAGTCATCGTCCCCAACGCATTGCTAACCGTATCGAAGCGACAAGTGGATTACATACTCGGAGAGAATCCGATCAAGATGTCGTACATGGTTGGATTCGGACGCAGATTCCCGAAGAGGATCCACCACAGAGCGTCGTCTCTCCCTTCGCGCGCGGTTCATTCGAAACCGTTGGGATGCGACGGCGGACGCCAATCGTTTTACACTAAGAAACCTAACCCTAATGTACTCACGGGAGCGATCGTAGGGGGACCGAATCAGAAGGATCGGTATCCGGATAAGAGGGATGATTATACTCACTCGGAGCCGACGACTTACATTAACGCGGCGTTCGTCGGACCTTTGGCGTACTTCGCCGCCGTTAGATCGGGTTGAGATCGAATCCGCCGCGTGATTGCGTAGTTACTTTGTTTTGACATGAACAGTTCATAAGTGTTTTTTTTTTTTTCCGACCAACAGTTTATAAGTGTTTAGTCCAACATTTTCTTAAAAAACTAGGATAAGACCCGCGCCTTGCGCGGAATAAAGCTATTATTTTTATTATGTTTTTAAAAATGAAACAATAGTTCGGTTTCATTCGGATTAGAGGTGTTCAATCCGGATATCGGGTTTCGGTTCGGCTCGATTTTTTGGTATTTCGATCATTAAAATATAAATACTATTCTAAATTTATATGTACTTCAGTTTGATTTGGTTTATATACCATCGGTTTTCAGTTTATTCAATTTTATACCAAAAACATAATTATTTAGTTTGAGATCATATTATATATTATACAAATATATAATATGATCATATTTAGAGTCATATTGTCACAGAGTTATTTATTAAAAAAATATTATATATTTAAATAAA